TCCCTTAAAGGCCGTGAGTATTTTTTTTTTACAATAAAATAGCCATCTCTATATCAATCTAATCTTAGACTTTTTTGTGGAGCTGGAATAAGTCTTGTAAAGGCAGTGGCAAGGTTTAGAATGAGTGTCTTGTGGACTAGTCAGTCTCGACTGATTTTACCCTAAAAGAAACAGAATTCATAAAGGAAAGGAAGCCAATCGCTAAGCCAAAAAATAACATACTTTTCGAGTATTTTCCTGTTTGTTGTCCTATTTAATCCTCATAACCACCCATCTGCTGGGCCAGATAAAGCAAATAGTATCTCCATTTATCAACTATGAGAGAGGCCCAGAGTAAGCAAATTGCCTAAGATCACAAAACATATCAAGCACAGGGGCTGGGACCAGGATTTATACCTTAGAGATCACCACAGCCTTCAACAAGCCAAGGGAGTTATGTAGATATTTAGATGTAGTAATGTAGATATTTGCAGTGTCCAAAGAGGGAGGAAAACAAACAAAAAAACATACACAATTGACTTAAAATTGATCAAAGTACAGCTTATATAATATCAAACCACGCTCAATAGTGGTTCTGCTGGAATATCTTCTCAATTCTTTGCTTGGACACTTGAAATAGGGCAGCCACTTTCATGTTAACTCCTTTTCATTGCCACTATTCCTAGATTCTGCCTAAAGACCAACCTAAGCATTTGCTTTTTTAGCTCTGAACTTCTGGTGCAAGCCAATGAATGGGAGGCAAATGGTGTTACCCTTCATGGTCCTCAACAAATATCACAAGCCTGAGAGGAGAAAGAAGTCCTTGAACACACTGAAGTCAGGGTGACATCACTGACCCATGGCACTTTTTGGAAGCCAGGCCTACACCCCTACTTCAAAGTGATAGTGAAAATATGGTTGCAATATTTTCATTTTTCAATCAGTGAGCAGAGTATGATTAGCATTTGCAAAAAAAAAAAAGAATGAAATAGAAATTGTCAAAACACACAACAAGTGGTAAACATGAATTTTATTTTGGAGATATTTGTTATCTGTATGTTGTGATGTAAAATATACTTCTTACTGTGAGTCATAGCAAAATTTTGAAATCTATGAAAGCATATACTTCAATCCCAGATTATGCTATATCCTAGGATCCTCCACCTGACACACTATTCCAAAAATACTCTACATTTTCCTACCTTTTACTGCTTTTCTAGAAAGCTAGGCTCAGTTATAGAGCCCAATGAGAGAACTGAGTACGCTTTTATGCAGAAAGGTGCATTTGGCAAAGGATAAATAGAATACAGCAGTTTAGTAATCAGCATTTTGATAAATTACTTTTATTGTATAGAGTCAACTATAAAATAAAAAATCCAAATGCCCTACTATTTTTCCCTATATATGTGTAGTTATGTTAAAGTGCATATAAAGTAGAAAGGACAACACATTCTTATTGTTTTTACCCTATATTAAATCAGATCACAACAAAAATCAGCAAATAAAATCCTCTTCTATTAAATATCCTAATTTCAGCTGGGCTTGGTGGCTCAGCCTGTAATCCCGCGCCTTTGGGAGGCTGAGGTGAGTGGATTGCCTGAGCCCGTGGGTTCGAGACCCACCTGTGCAGTGAGACCTCATCTCTACAATAAATAAAAAAATCAGCTGGGCATGGTAGCGCGTGCCTGTAACTCCGGCTACTCGGAAGGCTGAGGTGGAAGGATTGTCGGAGCCCAGCAGGTCGAGGCTGCGGTGACCGGGAGTGGCCACTGCACTCCAGTCTGGGCGACAGAGTGAGACTCCAACTCAAAAAAAAAAAAAAAAAAAAAAAATCCTAATTTCAGGCAATAGTTAACTCAGCAAAATTTCAGAATAAAAGAACTTGCAGTACCTTTTTGGCTTTTGATTTCTTGCTCCTTTCCTAAACACTGTGCTTATTTTTAACCTCATTGGATCTATGTTTGAAGATATACATTACTTTCCAAAAATTAGTAAAATGTTATCATTACTCAGATTCATTGATGCACACACATGATAAAAGTCCGTGGCTAACCCAGTCACATGGGCTAGTTATGAAATATAAATAACATGGTGACAGAATTTGAGTCACGAGTTACTAGCCTTGTAAGCTTACAGCCTTTCATGTCCATGAATTCTTAGAAACTTAGACCTAAGTAGATTCCTAATCATTTTATCTAAACTCATTACTGTATTATAACTTTTGTCAAGTTTATAAGACTTGTCATTATTTTATGTATCACTAAGAAAGGGAAAAGGGTGATTAAACTACACATGGCATAAATTTAATAACCTTACTAATTTCAGGGATGTTAACAATGTGAACAACACATGTGTCTTTGAAAAGATGAAATGTGGCCGGGTTCGGTGGCTCAGTCTGTAACTCCAGCACTTTGGGAGGCCAAGGCAAGCGGACTACCTGAGCCCGAGGGTTCGAGACCAGCCTGGGCAACTTGGTGAGCCCTCATCTCTACAATAAATCTAAAATTAGCCAGGCATGATAGCGCGTACCTGTAGTTTTGGCTACTTGGAAGGTTGAGGTGGAAGGATAGCCAGAGCCCAGCAGGTCGACACTGGAGTGACCATGAGCATGCCACTGTACTCCAGCCTGGGCAATGGAGTGAGACTCCAACTCAAAAAAAAACAAAAAAAAAGATGAAATGTGGTATTTGATTTTTAAGGGCTACTGCCTCTTCTCACACCTCTCTAAAAATGTCTGTTGACAAAGTTTTAGTGTAGAATTAAAGTTAATGGGACCATTCTTTCTAGAAATGGTTTCACTGCTTACTGAATAAAAAGCATTTTGGCTAGTTTCTTAAGGTTAAGATTTCCAACTTCTCACCAAAAACCTCACTGCCACCTCGAACAAGTGATCCTGGGAATGTGAATAGTTGGTAGGAAAAAAGGAAGAATAGGACAAAGAAAAAGTCCAAGATCAGCCGGGCTCGGTGGCTCAGACTGTAATCCCGCGCCTTGGGAGGCTGAGGTGAGTGAATTGCCTAAGCCGGTGGGTTTAAGACCCGCCCGGGCAACTTGGCGAGACCTCATCTCTACAATAAATCAAAAATTAGCCTGGTGTGGTAGTGAGCACCTGTAGTTCCAGTTATTTGGAAGGCTGAGGCGGAAGGATTGCTGGAGCCCAGCAGGTCAAGGTTGCGGTGGCAGGGAGCGGCCACTGTACTCCAGTCTGGGCGACAGAGTGAGACTCCAACTCAAAAAAAAATAGTCCAAGATCTCAACCATTGTTTTCAACATTCTAACATGTTTTTGGAAAAACCTTATATTGTAAAACAAACAGGAACCTGTTCTGGAGCCTTAAAAACAAAAATCAAAGGACCTTAAAACAAGGGTGATAAAACTTGTCACAAGGCAAATTTTATTTTTTCAAGTTATAAAAATATGAGCATGTCAAAAATACAGTCTAGTCCAGATAAGAGGAGTTCCAGCCGTTTAAAAGTTATACAGAGTTTGGAAAAAGCAATTCATATACAAGTCATAAAACATACAACAATCATGAACAATGCACAACCGTTAAATTCAGTTATTGCTAGTTATATGCAGCTATTTACTTGAGATAGTTCTTTATAGGGAAAGGGCAGCATCTGGGCAATGTGATTGTTGCTGTCAAAGGTGTGGTTTTAGAAAACCAATAAAAAATAAGCTCACTTTGAGAAGAATATAAGGTGTAAATTTTGATCAGTACTACAAGATGTGATTTAAATTTCAGTTCCACCCCCTTCTATTTAATTGCTTTGTTAGTAAATCAGAAATATAGTATATAGTTCTTGGCAAGAGTAGATCAATTACTTGTTTTAAAATGAAGTGAAAAGAAACATTAATTTTTGGTTGCAATGTAAAAACAAAGTTGGTATATCTAGTTTAAAAAAATTAAAAAAATGGAAAAGACATTTAAAGTTTAAGCAAAAATCAAAGCTAGGTTTTTTCTCTTTAGAAATTAAAACATAAGATTTATAATTTTGTTCTTTTGAACAAGTTCATCATGAAGCTCTGCTGCTATTTTCTCTTTAAGAAGACAATTTGAGCAAATTGAGATCAATTTGCTCAATGCCATATGGAAGAAAAAACAATAAAATTAAATTATTTTAACTTTACTTAAAGAAAAGATAATGCAGTTCACAGTATACAACACAAAGAAAAAAAAATCACTTATGTGGGGGGTGGGTGATACATAGATTTTGGGCCTAAAGTTCACATGGAAGACTTAAAAGTTAAGGGTGTCACAAAGAGATAGCAAAGGCTTTGTTTCTAACTTTTGTGTTAGACCCTGTTACAAGGTTAGGTTTATTGCTGGCATTTTACCCCCATAAGTTCTTGTATAAACTGAGATAAGCACTGGTGATAGATATGAGGTGAAGCAGAAAGATCTTAACAAATCATTCTTAGAACAAAAGTGACACTCATGACCATTTGGCAAGGATACTTAACTCAGCAATTTAAATCCTAAAAATAAGCTACATTTTTTAGGAGGTAGAAAACAAGTACCAAAAATTTGCCATTTGATCACCCTTCTACTTTTGGCTTCAACCTTAGATTTCTATGTTTCTCATTCCTCATTCTCCCATTAAAGCTATTAGCTCTACTAGCATTCTTACCTAAATTTATAGACCTGAAGCTGCCAAGAAAAATCTTTTTAGGAAGTTTTGCTTTCTCAAATGTACCCATAGTCAGGTATCAACTGAGAACAGTTTGCACCTCTCTAGTTGATTAATTCACTTAATTAAAAAACACGTTAACATAAAAATTACTTAATATGAAAAAAGACTACCCAACAAATCTACATGCAATTCCAATATGTCAGAGTAGTTATACAAACCTAAATTTGTACTGTTTTCATTGAACTGATTTTAATAAGCCATATATTAAAACTGCAATACCAGTGTTAACTGACAACAGGCATATGTTTTGCTACAAAATTAACCTAATAACACAAAAAAATCCTCACTTCTTCCCAGAGTTATATTGTGCTGACATCCCACAGATAGTATTATAAAAGGATTTTATTTTTGCGATAGGGTTCACAGTGAGTATGCTAGTACCAAGATCATGTTTTTAGTATTACTATAAGAATGTTATCAGTGGAATGTATATAAGGCATGTAAAAAACTAGCATTAAAGCTCTTAAGGGCAACTATCCAAACTGGCAGTTGCTAAAAAAGGTGCTGCTAGGAATAAAAAAATATTAAAGAAATTTAGTTTCAGCACATACTATTTTATAGTGCTTCTATAATGAAATGAATTAATTCATAATTCACATAAATTTCTCTTGCTGGAACCAATGGACCAAAGAATGGACTTTTGCCCCTCTAAGTACTAGCCCAATCTTGAAAACGGAAGCAATCACTTGCAATCTTCCACACAGTGTTGTTAGGAGTGGACTGAGCAGTCAGCAGGAAGTTTTGGTTGAAGTAGTGTTGCTTGTTTCCATCAAACTTCACAGTTCCACTGGTCACAACGAGAACTGTAGCCTGGGACTGGGTAGCTTGCTCTTTATCCACACACAAAAAAGATAACAGGTCAGTTTCTATCTCTAAATAAGCAGATTCTTAAGCTAAAGACTTGCTTATTATCTAATGCTAAGAAGTTTTTATAAGACATCTTTACCTTGAACATAATCTTAAGTGCACCCAAAGCCAGAAAACTAAATACTCATTAAAATATACATATTAAGGCCGGGTGCAGTGGCTCACACTTATAATCCCAGCACTTTGGGAGGCTGAGGTGAGAGGATTGCCTAAGCCCACGGGTTCAAGACCAGCCTGGGCAACTTAGCGAGACCTCATCTCTACAATAAATAAAAAAATTAGCTGGGCATGGTGGCGTGTGTCTATAGTTCCAGCTACTTGGAAGGTTGAGGTGGAAGGATCGCCTGAGCCCAGCAGGTAGAGGCTGTGGTGGCCGTGAGCGTGCCACTGTACTCCAGCCTGGACGACAGAGTAAGACTGACTCAAAAAAAAAAAAGTATTAAATTTATTTGCAGTCCAGAAAGATTTGGGGTGCTCTAAAGTTTCAAAATGAAGAGGTCATATCTAACACAAGGCCATTTGCTTCATATATATATATATAATTATATTTCAGGTTTCTAACAGCTTATTTTTGTTTTGCTTTTAAGCTATTGTTCTTTTCAGGAACTATACAGGCCGGAAAAAAAAAAAAAAAAAAAAAAAAAAATCCTAAACCATAACTTAAGGTACTTAGGACCCCACCTAGCGGTTAGTACTATAAATGGCATCACTCTACCTGGAATTAAATCCTGTCTTGCCAAAAGCCATCCTTTCACATAACAGTAAACTTCTGTGAAATTTTAATAGGCTGTAAGATACTGAAACATGTTAATCAGAGATATGGTATAAGTATTCTCTGAAGACATTTCAGGGCCTAAAAATCAACGATATATTTAGAGAAAAAAAATCCTTCCTCTCCACGAACAAAAATCACATGTAGTCTCAATTTCTCATACAGTCTTTTGTAAATTATAATCACATAATCCATTAAAACCTACTAGTGGTTCTCTGGCATTAGAAGCATATAAGGGAAGACCAAAAATTTGATTGGACAGTTGAATTTTTCATAATATTTAACTTGCTCAAGTAAGTAAATATTTTTACCACCAAAAGTTGCTTGCTGCTTTTGGTGAAAAAGCTCAGTGCTTTACTAAAGGAAAACAAAGAAGTACCTTGAAAGACCATGGTCTTACCATGAACTGGTTGGCAATCTAACATATTGACCTGGAACTCACTAGAAGGCAACATCTCAAAAAAATTTGCTAGGGCTTCCAGCCCTGTAACAACATTTCCATTCCATATTAAAGTGGCCTTGTCCAGATACAGCCTGGTTAGTGCCTAAAGAGAAAGAAAAAAATTTAAAAAGGGAAGGAATTTTGTTTCTAGGTAAGCATTTTATAAAATCAGATTGAAAGATTAGAGACTATATAAACATTTTTGTGGTTCTGCCTCTATTATCTACTCCCCTTGCTCCCTCTCCACTGTACCAGTGTGAACAAAGTATCTGTCTTACAATCTTGGTTTTAAATAGCTATTATCCTACTCTTCATAAATTAGGCAGTAAAATCTATTTTTTTCATATTTCGCTTTAGCAAAAATGAAAAAACCTTGCATTCAAACTGGAATACAGTTTTAAGGTTTTGCTTTCTGTATCAAAATGAACTAAATGCTCACAAGTTCCAACCAAGTATATGTAGCCCCAAATCAGTTTTAGTCTTTCTTCCTTTTCTAATTCTGAGAATTAACCATGTTGTCAATCAAGTCCTACCTGTGCACTTTAATGCTAGTGCCCATATACATGAGAATTAATGTTTACATGTGGTAGGAAGAGTTAATTTCATTTAGTTCTGCTCTTTTAAAAAAATTGACATGGAGTTTTACTATGTTGCTCAGGTTGGTCTCCAACTCCTAGGCTTAACCAATTTTCCTGCCTCAGCCTTATGAGTAGCTAAGATTACAGGCCTGCAACACCATATTTGTCTATATTACTATTCTATTAGCATACTGAGTTCAAAAGAATTATACATACTTGCTAAAAGAAGAGGATGTGATACATCAAATAAGTTAAGGCAAAAATTCAATAGTCCTGGAATCACAGAACACACTACTTGCTTAATTCTAAAATTTAACTGGGGCTAACAAGCCAACACATATCTTGACAGTGGCAATGAAATATGATGCATTTTTTGCTACTTTATTTTTGAAAGCAGTAAAGCAAAATACACATTCAAGGCACAATAAACATCCATTGTTACATCCCTTGTTCCATCATCAAACATCAATACAAGGAACTTATCTTATATTTTGCATTAAAAAGTAGTTTTTTAGAGACAGTGTATTAACTTTGCACCTGCAGAATAGTAATAGTTCTCTAAAACACAGTCCTATGCTGATAGAGACCTAGACTTGACCACATACTGAAATAATTACTTAGAGAATATGTCTTATGGATTAATTACAATGAAAATGATGATGAAGTGATGTCTCAGTCTGTTAAAGGCTATAAGGATTCAAGCTATATGGATCCTCTTTGAGAGTGCCAGCTATACTTGTGAGCTTTAATCAGAAACTGTCTATAAATATATGAAAGAAAAGGGGCAAATCGGAAACATTCCCTGTAATGGCAGACACCTTCATTAGCACCAATACCACTTTAACCATATTGGTTAAATGATAAGACTAAGAAAAGGAGGCATTTCAGTAAGTATATGCTGGACCCCACATTAAGGGCAGTATTTAAATTAATTCATACTTACCAATCTAAAAAAATAAAATGAGGTTAAAAAAAGACAGCAACTTGTCCAGGTCAAGGAACTAGGTAAACGTAAACCTGGGATATGATTCCAGAGCCCACACTCCCACTCATACCATACCAACATTTCCCTAAGCAATTCACCTTTAAAGAACAAGTCCACAGTTACTTATGCAAATCACGTGAATGACTGGTTCAAACTAAGACCTGGTATTTAATAAATAATACAGTCTATAACACTCACCCGTCTTCGTTTATCCATCGTCTCATAGTAAATATTGACAAATTCCTCAGCAGCTCTACATGCCTGATCTACATAAGTTTTAAAATCCTACAAGAAAAATTTCAGAAGTATAGATGATCACCCTTTCAATCCCTCACAATACGACACAACCAACAGAAGCTGATTTATTTCAACCACCACGTAGCTCTATACACAGTCCACATTCGGATATTTTAAAGGTTAGGGCTCAAAAGCTTTTTTTTTTTTTTTTGAGTTGGAGTCTCACTCTGTTGCCCAGACTGGAGTGCAGTGGCCGCTTCCGGCCACCGCAGACTCGACCTGCTGGGCTCCAGCGATTCTTCCGCCTCAGCCTTCCGAGTAGCCAGAATTACAGACATGCGCTACCACGCCCGGCTGATTTTTTGATTTATTGCCGAGATGAGGTCTCTCTGCCCAGGCGGGTCTCGAACCCACGAGCTCAGGCAATCCACTCACCTCAGCCTCCCAAAGGCGCGGGATTACAGGCTGAGCCACCGAGCCCGGCTTCAAAAGCTTTTAATTTTTAAAATATTCACGATTTTAGGTGCATGTCTTTAGGACATAATCATCTCGATGAATTTGACTTTTTTCAAACTTCACATATAAATTTATCTTTGCTTGGTAACTAAGAACGTTAGATTTTCAATATTTTACAAAACATTCACCGCAATAAAAATGACACCTCCTGAAACTTCAAAAAGGGGAGGGGGTAGAGAAAACTGCCCTTGAATAAACTAAGTGTTGAGTTCTTTTTTCAAGCGAAAAGTTACGACCAAACTACAAAGTTGTTGCATGTGGGGGGTGGGGGGTGGGCATCAGAAGTTCAACTACCTGAAAAACTCATAAGGAACATTGTCTAGTCAGGAAACATTCTCACATTACGTTCACCGGTGTTTGTAAAAGAACTGTAAGACCGAAAAAACCAATGTTGTTGCAGTTTGCGCGGGAGGATTGAAGCACAGTCATTTACCCGGTGCGGTCTATTGTTTGAATTACGAACAGTGATTCACCAGTTTCATTTCTTTCTCAGGTAATTGAAAGTGATTTTGAGAGAGAAAGATAATAAAAAGAATGAGACTGCTAGCCATAAACAGACCCCAACATCCCCGCCTCTCCCTACACCCCACCTCACAGTCCCTCTCCGGACCAGAAAGCGGACGCAAACCCATTAGGGGCGGGCGGGCAGTAGAGCGTGGGCCCCGCCCCGAAGCCTGGCGAGCTGAGCCTTGATTCGTCACCTGCTCACGTGACCGGCAACCAGCCCGCCCAACACACCTCCCCTAAGCCTCCCGAGTACCGGCGCCCAGCTGTCCTGCCGCGGCCCAGGCACTCACCACAGCCATGGCCATCGGGGACCCCGAATCAGCCTGTCCCTGCAGTGGCGGCGTCACTACCTCCTCACGTGTCCGACTCCCTCGGCTTCTGAATAATCAAAATAATTCATGTAGAAAGCAAAACCCGCCAAACGCACAGAATTTCCTACCCGCCCATTCTCTCCCGGAAGTAGCACGGTCCGTTGTGAAAAGCACCCCGATGTTCAAACATTAAGGCGTATCTCCCTTAAGTTCCGACTGATCGCTCCCATCCGCCTTATCTACTTGTTTGATAGCTATTTGGTTTATCAGAAAAAAAAAAAAAAAACGAAAACCCACATTGCTTTTGTAAACAAGAGACGTAAACCGAAAGTAACCCAGTTTTCCAAAGACGCGCCCAGGGATAAGCTAAGACGAGAGGGTCCAATTAGGGGGACGGATTTTCCCCAGGAGGTGGAGTCAAAGTCTGCTGGAGACCAAGGAGAAACGCGAGACCCACTAGATTCGTAGCCTATAGGAAAAAGGGGTGGAGCTTAGGGAAAGGCGCGCAATCATACTGCGCATGACTGGTAGAGAAACGTCTAACGGTTCTGGAACATTCTAGAAAAATTGTTCCTCACAGAATTGAACACCAAGGTCTCAGCGGTTTGCCTAAAAGTATTCACTGTTTGATTTTACAGTAGCCATATAGCCATATTTAATGGAAAAGTTTCATCAGGTTCCTTCATCCTGGGATGCATTTTTAAACGTATTGCAGACCCAAACAAAAATTAGTCTACAGTGCCATTCACTACGCTTTAAGGGCTACTTATTCTGCAAAGTAATCTCACAATAACTAAAATGTTGAGTTGACAGAATGGATACAGTACTTTTCTAAGCAGTTTGGCACATATTCACTTATTATTTCTAATACTCCTGAGGTAATTGCTATTATTTGATCCTCTCCATTTTATAGCTAAGACACAGTGAACCGGCAATATGACTTTGCTTCCCACCACCCCTTAAAACTACTTACGCCTTCTGATTTGACGGTCAAAATAAATAGTTGCTGCCGTAGTCTTACCTTGAGTGGCTGCTGTGTATCTCCTCATGATAATAGTCTCTCCTTTCTTGGTGGCTTGGCCTGTCTCCCTGAGCCCAGTCTCTTTCCAATCGTCTCATACTTTTAATCTTTATCCTGCTCTGCCCCCTTCAGCCTAGTTCTAACCGCAATCACGTACTCCCGCCTCTCCTCTGCTGCCTCTCGCCGATTGGCAGCACAGCCGTGGTGTCGCCCCCTTTTAAAGGCTCTCTCCATCCACGTGATCTCAGTGGCTACATCTATGCCAATGAGCCTCCACAACCTAATCTCCAGTCCCCACCTCTTCTCTGAGCTTCAATTACGCATATGAATTTTGCCAAACATGAACACCAGGATGCGCTGTAGGCTTCTCAAGCTCCTAAACCCCAAATTTAAAATCATTATTTTCTTTCTACTTCCAGCCTTCTCAGTTATCTATGCTTGAATTCTTCAATTTTAGTTTTTGGTTCCCCCTTTCCTCCTCATTCATTCATTCAGCAAGTACTTATTTTTATTTTTATTTCTTTTATTTTTATTTTTATTTTTTGAGTTGGAGTCTCATTCTGTCACCCAGACTGGAGTGCAGTGGCCGCTTC